TATAGCAAACTAATAATAGATACTTCTTTGGTGCGTTGAGTTGATTATATGTATAGGCGTGTGCGTTCTTTCTCAAAATTTCAGTTATACATAACAATACTGACACTAACACAAACGTTTATGTACACACACATATTGTTGATTCTTACTCTCGAGAATCTTTTACAACTTTGGAGGATAGGAGGGAGTTTCGCAATACATATTTAACAGTATAATGTATGTATGTTTCTAAATATAAATTCAATCTAAAGAAACGTCGATATTAAAATAAGTATATAATAACAAATTCGTTACAGTTGGCGATGAGTGTTGACTAGGTACCTTCCATCTAGTCTATTACTTAAAATTTTGGAAATGCTATGTGTAACTATGCGCGAAATTCTGAATAAAGAAGTTCTTTGACTTGATTCTATGTCTGTATTTATTTCCCTGAAAGGGGGGTCGAAGGCGCCTGGAGAGGTCACCTGTTTTTACTATTCGCACCATAATACAGTAGTGTGTCGTCTGTTAGTCAGTCGGTACATATTGAAATGACGTCACATAAGGGACGCTTAATGTTGCAATTTGTAATATCATGACGTCAATAAAACGTGCGCACATCATGAATCACAAGAAGAATTATGCACTCTGTAGGCTACAACACAATATAAAATGTGAACTTCTAGAGCAGGAATATTTGTTATTCTTAATTTCGTTTTTATTTACTCTTGAAACAGAAAACTTTGAAGGAACTGTGGAAGTACATCTAGATTCCTTATAGTTGATTTACATTATGTTTGAAATTTCTGATATACACCTTTGTTCACCTTTGTTCTCTGTTATCTTTCTAAAGTATGATTAATATTTACAGGACTTTGCATTTGTTTACTTTAGTATTTGCCATTATAAAAATGAAAAACAGAAGGAAACTTATCGGTCAATTTCCGAAATTATCCATAATTAAATTTTAACACTTTTAAATTATCAACCCTCCATTAGTTTTGGGGACATTTTTTTTTTTCAAAATCCACTTGTGTTTGTTCACATGAACGACAACTTTTGCACATATGGGTGAACTACCAGATGAGAGCCTCCATGGCCAGGCATAGTTGCCTTTAATTTTGAAGTGTGATCAGAGGAAGGACAACCAGTCGATAGCGTTCACCGCTTGAAGGGGCTCTTAACCAAATAGTGGTATTGACTGGCACTCCTATAAAGCACCAAAGCTAAATGTGCAGAGCGCGTGTTTGATAGCACCATGTCTGAAATATGAGACCCCCCCACACTGATCCCCAGTTCGATAAGTTTACCACTGGACAACACTCAGGACAAACCTATTTGTAACAAGGGGGAATCCTCAACAGCCGAAATTCTTAGGCAGGATTAGAGTAAATTAATCTATGAGACCTTCCCCCCCCCCCTTTTTATTAGCTATATTTCTGAGCGCCAGCAATACCAAGCTTAGGGTGCGCGTATACTCGATTCGTTTTATTACTCATCAGGATCTCTACCAGCCTACCCTCAAATTGAAATTCTTTTAGGCAGGATAAGTAAGTAGTTTTATCTTAATAAACGTGAGCTATTAGAACATGAAATAATAAAGAGTAATGGAATTGTTTATGAGGATTAGAAAGTACAATATATCTACTATGGTATGATACCCAGTTAGAATATTATGGTACTAACTAAATTGAGGAATAGAGTAGTTTATGATAAAAGAACATAAAATAAAAACACATCTACAAACATTATAAAATGAACACATTCCCAGTTTTAACGTTCTTTAAGTCACTCCAAACACGAACAGATTTAGTATATAATTATCCCATGTGATTTTCTATTTTGATTTTTAAAACTTCCGCACCATCGAGTTACCATTTCAAACATAGTTTTTTTCTCAATAGATATAAAATAACACCTTATAGAAAACGATCATAAACTATTTTGTTACACTGAGGAAATATCCAGAAACTAAACTGATAAAACGTGAAACATGTACACATATAAATCAACTTTTAAAGTTTATATTGTATTTTTTATTGGTTTATCTTTTATAAACTAGACAAAAAACAAGAAGTCCCAATGATTTATCATTAGCCTACTATCACGATGAATTCGACCCATTTCCATTTTAGGACTAATATCAGAAGAGTGACACAAAACGAATTGTACAAATAAATATATATATATGTGTGTGTGTACGTATGTATGGGTGCGACCGGGTTTGAGCTCTTCCCCCCTTCCCCGAAATATCAGTGAAGATAATTTTTAATAACTTTTTTCCCTTGCCTTAAACCCTTCTCTTGAAATACAAAAATACCTCCCAGATTTATAAGTGGTAAACATTACAGTGTCGCCATTAAATAAAAAACGTTGAACTTGTTGCATTTTTGTTACAGCACAACTCATTAAATGATTTGCTCATCACTTCCCTCGCCCCTTAGATAATTTTTCGTGACTAAGGCACTGATATTATGTGTGTAGTTTTCATTCTAGCTTATCCATAATCTCACTGTGCTATAGTTTAGCTCACTCATTTCTTTGTAGAAATAACTTGTTAGACAAGTTCTGTTTTCACAGTTCTAAGATGTCGTAATTATGACAGTCTACACGTCACATCTAGATATGTTTTTTACATTTACATGGTGTTATAATGCGTTGATGTATTGCTTATTTTTTGAATGCGCTAAATCGAGCTGTTTAGACGTTTAGTGAAAAATCTAATAATGAATCAAACAGGCATTTTGTGTTTAATTTATAGTTTACATAATCAAACATTCGTACATTAACTCATTGATTGCTGAATCGCCGTAGAGAGTACGGTTCGCCTTCGGTATTTCAATGCGAGTGTGGCGTATACGATGTATGACTTTCACAATTTTCACTCACGTTTAGAGCAGCCACAGTCAATGGGTTAATGTCGATAACCTGATTATAAAATAGTTTTAAAACATCCTTCATTTGTTAGCGAAACTAATTATTCCTGCAGATCCTAGTTTTAAAATATTTTTCATGTGTTAGCGAATCTAATTATTGCTTTTTATCCTAGTTTTATGTGCACTTGGGCATTGGTTATATATCGGAAAAACGAGCTTTTCTTTCATGAATAACGAAAGATGGGTTATGATAGTTAATTAATTAAAACACTGTTTTACAGGAAACATGAAATGTTTACAAAACTATCAGATCGTAAAAAAAAACATAAAAAATAAGTACATAAATTACAAGCAAATCGGAATAAATTTAATTGAGAAGACATTTGTTTTCCATTTATTTAAACTTGAAACTGGGAATTAGTATTCAGATTCTGAAATCATATTTAATCTTTTAAGAATAATATTTTATTGATGTTCCTGATATGTTCATTGTTCCATTTCAGGAAGAAGATTTCCAAAGAGGTGATGAAGTTCATCTCGAAATAGATCATAGAACGCTGAATCTGAAAACATACCGTGACGAGAAAAGAATTTCTCGTGGAAAGAGAATCCGGCGCGATGTTTCAAATGTCACCAACATCTCATTGGATAAGGACAAAATGAATATCCAAAACAACGTTTTTGATATTAGTCTAATTACGCCAGTAGATGATTTAATAAACTTGGAAACTGATAACGTCACTGATTCTGTTTCATCAAATAACACAGTGACAATTAAAGCGTTAGATGTTTCTGTGCCTCATTCAGATAATAATGTTAATTCCTCTGTTTCTCATTTGTCCACATCCTCATCTTTCTCTTCCATTACCTATGATTCAACAACAATACCCACATCAACAGAAATACCCGTTTGTCCTGGTGTCAACATCAACATACATTCAATAAGAGACACTCAAGTGAAACTGGAATTACTCAATTTGTCACAAATCATAACTTATAACTTAAATTACAGCGTTCTTATGTGCTACCAAAAGAACGACGAGCCCCAAAGTAGAACTCTTATCAACACTACAGAATGCATAGACGACGTCTTAAAAGATTTTGTTTGCTCAAATTTTACCGAACTAGATAATTTATCTCCTTTTACAAATTATACAATTTATGTACAAGTTTTGTGTTCCAACCAATTCTGTGGCCCAAGCGATTTTGTGAATGTTCAAACTGATGTAGGAGGTAAGTTTAACTGAACAGGATGTTTCATTTGGCACAGGGGGGTGAGTATAGCTGAACATTAATATATTAGGTATACGTACATAATTTACGTTTATAATCAGATTTCCACAAGAAATATGCTTCTTTCCATTACATGACATGACTATCCGTTTCTCTGACGTAATGAATAAGGTCACACATTGTTAGACGAGCGTGAATATTTTCTCCAAATGAAATAACTATCAGATAATATTCTTATGTTTAAACATATTGTAGATTACATGTAGAAAAGTTAATGTGTGTCAAAAGAAAAGATAAGCTAGTATAACAATAACCATCTTCTGAAAGCACGTTATGCATCTTTTCCACAGTTTTGGGTGCACAAAATTTAATTTTTATTTGTCTTTTTTGATATCTGTATTGCATAGTTATAAATTCGTAGTCAGAATATTTATTTTCAACTTTCTTTTTGAGGGAATAGAAAGTGACTATTTAATAAATAATGATATTTCCAATAGCTCTAAAATTATGACCATTTATGTTAAATATATTAACGATTTCATTATCTATAAGAACTTAAGTTTAATGTTCTACTAAATGTTTTGTACAAAGTCAGGTTCTAACGATACAAAATTATTTCTTATATAAATCAGAACTTTGAGCTATCAACCCCAAAGATTAAAAGTTTCAAACGTTTATTTCGAAAACGTGGCTTTGATGATGGAAATAATTTTGTTTTGACACTGCACTATATGATATAGAATGTAGTCATTTGGTTTAAAAACCGCACCCAGTCGTATTTAACACTGTGTATAACAAGACATATAGCTTTATTTGCTACTATTTTGGGGTTAAGTATGAATTAACTGAAAATGTTGAGAGAAAAACACAAATAAAATTTTATTTTGGGTCAGAAATATGCAATTAGTAAATAACGAAAGAATAGTAAGAGAAATTTTTGATGTTGCTGTTTTCCTATTTGCAATTTGCGGGTTTTGGTCTGTTTGCTTTAGAGTAAAGTTACACTGGGCTATTTGCTGTTTTCACTGCGGGGAATGAAACCTCGGATTTCAGCGTTGTAAATAACTCCGTAAACTTACCGCTCTCCCACCTTGAGACACTGATATTGGTAATATATAATCTATTGTTACAGCTACTTATCCCAACCTGTCGTAATTCCATAAGATATTCTACAAATTTCAATATAATTCAATTTGCATTTTTAAATATATGTTTAAAATATATTTTACCGTGTTTCAATTTCTAGTCTGAGAGTTTACAACACCAGAAAATCATGTTTTGATACCTGCGGTTATCAGAACACAGATGACCCATTGAGTAACTTTGTGCAAACAAATAAATTATATAATATATTAAATAAAACAGCTTTTAGACGTGTTGATAGCCTTCTGGACGAAGTATGATTCATTGTGTTTATGAAAATTGCTGTGATCAAACTTCAATATTAATTTTCTGTTTGATAATAAATTATTATATATTCACCACTTATAGTCACCATTTTTGTTGGAAGGCCAATAATAAAGACATGGAATTTATCTAACTAACAGAGAACATAATAATTTTCTAGATTTTTCCTTTTCGCAATTTATCGATTTCTCTTTTTTTAATAGGACCGAGTGCACCACAAAACTTTACCTCAGAGTTTTTGAATGGCACTTTTGTTGCACTCAGATGGAAAGAGCCTAAAATAAAAAACGGACCACTTGATGGATATAAGATAGAGTGGGTGTTGAAAGCCACCCAACACCCAAATTGTTGCATAGAATCATCTGTTGAGGAAAACGAGGAAGTGATTTTAGGAAATACATTTGACTATGAAATCAGTGGACTAAATCCGTGGACCATCTACGAAATAACAGTTAAGGCTTTCAACAAAAACAAGAATAATGTAACACGTGAAGGGGAAGAAAACACACTGAATGTAAGAACCGGCTCATACTGTAAGTACTCCAGGTATACATTCCACAGTCATGTTTATTATTTATGTATAAAACATTAGGTACTTTAACCCACAACATTCTGAAAGTATTCGTATTGCAAAGAGATTACTGCTATACCCTATGCCCACAAGTTCTGAGTAACGTTGTAATAGTACCCAAATAGCGTTGGGAAGAATCCATCTCTTCAGTTCTCCACCAAGGTGCTTGCAACTGAGAATTAATTAAGATATATATGTCCAAGGTGTTTTAACCCGCAACGTCCTGAATGTACCTACCCACTCACTGTACATAGCCAGAAAAATACGACAACTTTTATTTTCATAATATTAATATGAACTTTTGTTTTTCTTGTCAAAACCTTATTTGCTATTAGTACATCCACGTACATATATATAGTTGGACATATTATTTGGTACCTATAACAAATATTATACAAATTTCTCTAAATTGATATAATACTGCAGTTTTCACCGGATAACAGCCTGATTTCAGAATTAAATACGATTGTTTATTTATCTACTTATCATCTGCCTGTAAATCTATTATTCAATATAATTTCAAATTAAGAAACAACAGTAGCATTATGTTAATTAACAACTCTAGCTCATTAACTATTTATTTTTAGTGACAGAAATTGAAGTAGTGCTTTCGCGGTTCTGATAATTCCTTCTATTTGTTACTGTTAAATAAGTAAAAAATATCCTCAAAATTAAATATCTAAATCGTATAGAATTAATATTCAATAAGGAAAGATACAATAACGATAAAACAGGAGAATTTACCAATAGAACTTGCAATAGTTTTCCCTGAAACAAATAAACGGTATAATAAAACAGTAAAAAAAAATAATATGCATTAATTTTATGGATAATAATGACACAAAGTAATACTATGATTCGGCTATATGGAGAAAAGTATTTTTCCCACCTTAAAGAACCGAAATTATTCTGGTATTTGTTTAATGTCCTAGATGCATGTTGTAAGTTTTATTGGAGTTTCTGCTCACATTACGTTGTACTTTGTATTACACTTTACTGTCCACCAAGTGATGTCATGTTTGCTACACTTTCTGTTTACCATATTGGGTAATATTTAGTACACATTTTGTTCACCATGTGTTGTAATGTTTTCTATACTTTCTGTTCGCAGTATGTTGTAACATTTAGTAAACTTTCTGTTCACCATGTGTTGTAATATTTACTACACTTTCTGTTCACCGTGTGTTTTAATGTTTAGTACACCTTCTGCTCACCATATGTGGTAATGTTTAGTACAACTTCTGTCCACCAAGTGATGTTATGTTTAATACACTTTCTGTCCATCAAGTAGTGTTATGTTTACTATAACTTCTGTTCACCATATATTGTAGTCTTGTAAGGTTTACTAAACTTTACAATTCACCATGTGTTGAAACATTTACTACAACTTGTGTGCACTATGTGTTTTAATGTTTCTTGGAGTTTCTGTTCACCTTCTATTCACCATGTGTTATAATGTTTACTACAACTGTTCCCTGTGTGTTGTAATGTTTACTACGCCTTCTGTTCACCGTGTGTTGTAATGTTTACTACTCCTTCTGTTCACCAAGTGTTATAACGTTTACTTTACTACACCTTCTGTTTACCGTGTGTTGTAATGTTTACCACACCTTCTGTTTACCGTGAGTTGTAGTTACATTGCTGTCTGCTCGTCCTGTATTGCAATGTCTACTAGAGTTTCTATGTGCTTATAATGTATTTACTTTTATTTTGTTTTTGCTTATTGCACTTTCTGCTCACTCTGTGTTTTAGTCTTTCTTAACAAGATTTATTGTTTATCCTATATGTTAAGAAATTGAAAGGACCTTATGGTTATGCAGCGCATTAAATAAAAAAAAATGGAAATATATAACAGCTCACCATGCATGTTGTAATGCTTACAACACTTTACATTTACGTTGTAATATATACAATTTTTTTATTTTTTATTATGTAAATTTTAATATTCACAGTTGTTCGTATTCATATCCCCTGGGGTAAATTGTTAATACTGCATATGTTTTATTTACATCTTGAATGTTCACTTAGTTGATTGTGAGTATTATAAATCATATATATAGTTTTGTAAGTTATAATTGTTTGAGTAGTGTATTTTCCTGTATATTAAATTGTTTAAAATAATTTCTGCTCACTTTTTTTGTTGTAATGGTAACCGTAAATACAAGATTTTACGTGTGCATTGAATAAACTATGAAACATTTATAAATAATACTGATTTACTTTCTAGGACTAAACTTATTAAAGATAAAAAGCCAAGGCGTAATGGCTCAATGTATTTAACATTCACTTTATTTCTTAGATCCAAGTAAACCCAGAAATTTTACAGCTAAGGCCTTGAATTCTAGTGTTATAAGACTACAATGGAAAGACCCCAAATGTCCTTATGGAACAATCGTACGTTATATTATCAGTTGGAGTTCAGACAGTTACGATGTTGAATGTCGATTTATCGAGGATATAAACATAAGAAAATACGACGTGCACGATCTGGAACCATGGTCTGTTTACAAGCTAACTATATATGTTGTAAATGATGGCCAGTTTGAAAGTGAAAATGTATCAACGTCTGAAAGAACACATCCTGCTGGTAGGCATTTCACTCTTCCTGTTTAGGGGTTATCGTAATATTTACGGAATAGAAATATTTTCTATTTTCATAGTTATAAGTATTTATATAGGACATATCGATTTTTGGAAGTTGAATGATTCGGTTTGGTTACAAAAAAAATATCTTGTTTAAACTGTTATGAATTAACTTGAAAATACCGTTAGTTTTATATTATATTCAGGTGTATTGTTACAATTATTCTTGCTATGTAATTTCAACTATATTTCTATGTTGTTCATCATTGTCACTTGATTTTGGGACAGTTTGTTGCAAAAAACTTTCGGCAGACCTATGACCTGAGTTATATTAATATCTTATTTTTAAAGCATGATATCACGAAGAAAGAAATATCATATGTGTTCGACTTTACTCTAACTTCTTGTTTTCATAATACATTAACGTATAACAATATAGAATATTAATCAATCTAAAAGCAGATCTTTCGTCATAGTATTTCTCTCCCTAACTTAAGTGTAAAAAAAAGGATACCAAGTAATGATAGTTTATTTTTCTATCGTAAACTGGAAATAGCTGCCAGCAAACCAGAAAATCTCGAAGCTAGAAACCTGACTTCAAAGTCTCTTCTATTAACGTGGAACGTCCCTTCCCAACCAAATGGAGATATTTCAGAATTTTATATTGTATATTCTGAAAAAGACAACTCCAGTGTTTTTACAAAATTTACGCCTTTCAACAATACATCTTTCGATATTTTTGATTTGAAGCCGTTTACTAATTATAGCTTTTGTGTAAAAGCTCTTACCAAGTTCAACAAGGAAAACATTTTCGGAGAAGAAGAGTGCATTGATACACAAACTGAGGAAGACTGTAAGTAAAAAAAAATAGCTCATAAGAAAGTAGATCTTTGGTACATGGATTACAAAATATGTTATATTAGAGTAATTAGATTTTACACTGTTATAATCAGTGATGCAGTGATATTTTGAAAATGAGCGGTCGCCACGATCTCCCTTACCCCCCACCCCTCCCCGACAGAAAAGTTTATTATCAAACTGTTTATTTAATATAACTATTGTTTACTAATTAATTATAAATTCGGAAAATCATCGCTTGAAACATATTTTTGTACAATAGCAGTATATATATATATAAGCTCACAGAGCTTTCAGTTGATGATAAACTTCGTTTTATATAAATCATTTCATATTAGAGACATAATTACAATCCATCGATCCAGATTTGAGTGTATACGAAAGTAACACGAGAAGTAATGTGCATTTCAAGTATGGGAGTGACGCCCCTGTTGCATATGACTATATCACTGATTAATATGAAACATTAAATTCACGTCAGATAACAAATGTTTAGCGTAATTAACTAAATACTGTGTTAACACAACTTGTTTGTTGATAAAAGAGTGCCTCCAAATGTAGGTTTATATGTTTTTAAATAGGGAGACTGATGTGTGTAATTTTTATTCATTCACACAACTTCACACTGTTTCACCGAAAAATAGTGTCCCTAACTCCTTATGTAGGTCTAACCCTAATATATTGACATTATGAATATGAGATAATTCCCGAGCCCTGAATCCTTAATAGAAAGTGTGAAAATGTAAACAAAAAATTAAGTAGTTTAGACATTTCAGCTCAAAGCACATCGAAAATTGTACTTATATAAAGAAATTAATACTCATAAATCTGTTTCGCTTCCTGAGCCTAAAGGGGGTGTGGTTTGAAAATAAACGCACTCCGTTGATGGTGTAATCGGTAATTTTTCAACATCATATATATAACTGTCAAATTAAAGTTTCTCTTTCAGTACACATTTTCTAATTTCTGAATTAAAACGTAATGTTTGCTCTTATTTTCTAGATTTGAATAAAATTATATAGTAACGAGGGTTTGAAAAATTGCTTTTGCTGTTCAGACGACTGGATCCTGGAAACCAAGGTATACATTATTGTCACACTTTGTACATTGACCAGTTTGACCACGTGAAAGAGAACTAACTTATGTAGTACATTGACGTGTTCAAATCTACATGGACAATGGCTTTTGTACTCATAGGTACCATGTGGGGTGACCATGACGTCATCATAACACGTCACGCAACTGTGTACGTTGTCTTCCACATAGTCAACACCGACTTTCACGACATTGTATCCATCGGTTTCCTGAAGGTAGTTGTCTACAGCGGAAGTAACATTTGAAACACCCGGTATATATATTATTACACATAATTATTTACACAGGAAGATAAACCAACTGTTGTGAATACTTGAAACCATCGACTGTAAAACTGTTTTCGAAGATTCGAATAGCAAATTATTGCAATATGGTGGATGAAGATCTATCGAAATTGTATAGCCAGCATACATTCTCATGTGATACTCTGTATGAATGATTGGTATGGAAGACATGACGTTCCATGTTGAATGTTGTACATGTTAAGCATGAGAGTGGCATAGTTTACGTAAAGCATTAAAGAGATATTTTCGAAAATTATTTGAAATCTTAAGACATTTTATTTTCACATAGGTATATTAAAGAAATAAAGCCAACGATTAATAGTACATAACAAATGTTAAAAATGAGACTGTTGCCAGTCTCAAAATACAATAGCAAGAGTTAAGACCTATAAACAATTCCAAAAATCACATGATCAAATTTACATACAATTTTATTTAAAAATTTAGCGCCATCTATTAACAACATTTTCCTCTAGTCCTTCATCCTTATTCAATACTTTAAAATTATTTTCATTACATTTGATTATCTCAATCCATTCAAGAATATTATTACCATTGGTGTTTGCAGGTTGTGATAAAATAATAGTTTTTCTTCCCATTTATTCAAGTGTTTAATTCTAGTATTTTGTTCATCTAAAGTCGAGATCTTTGTATTATTATTTTTAGTATTTATTTTGTGTTCATCTATTCTGTATTTTAAATTTCTTCTAGTTTGTCCAATATACATATTTCCATATTCGCATGTTATTTTGTACACACCAGCTTTCTCCATTAAATCAATTTTATCTTTAATTACATTAAAAATCTGGCTAATCCTGTTCATCGGTCTACATATCGAAAATATTGTGTTTTAATTCGTTGCATTATTTGACAAGATAAACCTGGTATAAATGATAATACAAGTAATTCTTTCTTAATTTTTCAGCAGATGGTTTTGCCTTAATATTTTCATCCCCGATTTTTAATTACTTGACAGCTGTGTCAACAATATCAGAATTAAACCCCCTTTCTACTGGCATATACTTGATAAATAATAACTCGTTAATAATATCTTCCTGTTTACAATGTGATTTTAAAATTCTATTCATAATAAGAATAAAAAGCAGTGATATTTTGAGAAATTAGTGTGACATGGTTACCAAAAATGGTTTTCGGTAAATAGCAGTTCCTGATTTTCCCTTATTTTTACATAATGAAAAATCGAAAAAAAGGTAAACAGTTTATATTCCTCAGTTTTATTTGTAAATTAATAGAATTGTTAAAGTTATTAAGGTAATTAGCAAAATCAGTTAAGTTCTCTTGACCATGCTGACATATCGTCAACATACCTTAACCAAATTTACGGTTTCTTTTTTCGATCTTCTTGACGCTTCGGTTTCAAAACTGTTCATGAATGAATCACATGATAATGGTCAGTTTGTTTGCAGTTAAGCACAAAACTACACAATGGGCTATCTGTACTCTGCCCACCACGGATATCGAAACCCGGTTTCTAGCGTTGTAAGTCCGCAGACATGCCGCTGTGCCATTGGGGGGTGAGGGCATGATAATGGAGATAAAGGAGAATCTGTAGCTAAACCTTCGTCTAGTTTATAAAACTTACTCTTAACTTGAAAATAATGAATTTTTACACATGCTTCAATAAGGTTAATAATATCAATTATTTCTAAAGTGAATCTTTATTTTCTTTCAACTGTTAATGACTTTTTCCACTGGTTCTTTAGTGAACAATGGAACAACATCAAAAGACACTAAGATACCATTCTGATCTAGTGTTACATGTTGACTTTTTTAAACAAATTCTAACGTAATCCTAATTGAGTATTTATTTTTAATCTTTAAAAATGAGAACTTTTTTTATATGAATTTTGCTACATTGTACGTGGAACTCTTAATATTTGATAAAATAGATCTAAAACTGTCCCCAATCTTATGAACTTTAGATAAAGCATATAATCTAGGTGATATAAAGTTACTTGTAATTAAACCTACTGTCTTAAAATATCGGCATGTAGTATCAAACCTGCTTAAGAGGTTGACTGAAATTGACATTGAAAGTGTGATTGGACATGTGGTATTTGTAAATATGTATATATTAGATGGTAAATTTTTGGATTTTATAAAGCTATTGAAATGTCTTTCAAAAAAACGTAATATAACCAATGGAGACAATCCAGAAACTACCTCAACTGAGAAGACTACTCTTTATTTTAATATGAACTTATTTTAATTGGTTTATCAGTCGGTCCCTTTTAGAGAGAAAAATTGCCTAGTGGCTGATAAGCAAAAGCAACCCATTTAGGATTAGAATATTTTCAAAAAGCTTAATTTGGATTTACAGTTTCTGAGGTTCTTAAAGGGTTTTATAATCTAGAACATTAAACGCTGTTGTCCTTTTTTGTTAGCTCCAGAAGAACCACAAAATCTTAAGACTAGCAAAGTTACTTCAAACTCCATTAAACTGACTTGGTCTGTACCATCAAAACCCAACGGAATAATCACCAACTACAGCGTCTGTACCAACTTCTATAAAAACTGCAGTCACGACCATTGGAACTTTGTTACTACTAGCACTTGCTATACACTGAAAAAACTTCATGCATATACCGCGTACAATCTATCCGTAGCAGCTTGGACTTCAGCTGGACTTGGAAAATGGGCTTCAGTGCTTACTGAAATGACTCAAATCGGAGGTAAGTATTTTCCCAAAATATTATTTACTATAGTTTCTCGTTTTTAAAAAGAAAATATATTTCTTTTTTGTCTGTTAATTTGTTTAGCTTATTGCATTAATTAATTTTTAATGTTTTAACCAATAATTATACTATGTCAGTCCTGGAATCCGGAGCTTTGAATCTAAACGAACTCATTCTATTCTTTATGAAACTTGATTAACATATTTTGCCATTGAGAAGGCTTTTTCATTAGTTAATTTTTGTCTTTATTAATATTGTTTATGTATTATTATCTTTGACTGAACGATGAGTAAGTACATTTTATTAAATAATTATAGGTTAAAGAAAAATAACTTTACTTAGCTTCCATAAAACATCTAAGCATCTAGTCAAAATTCAACGTAAATAAATACTGTTTAAAACAGTTTACTTATAGCTTAAATTCCGAGTTAGATCACCATGACCATTATCAAAATGACCATTATGCAGTTTAGCGCAAAAACAAAAACAAATAAGTAGCTTTTGCGTCATCTTTTAAACAATATTGGATCATATGTATAACAGTATGACAATTTGTTTGTTTCTATTGATTACTAACTTACCAAAAACGTTTTTACACAGCCTTTGACAAAGCTGTGCAAATAACAACAAACCTTCTTAATTTTTCTAATACATACTTCTTAACAATTTTCTAAAAATGTCTTATGTGTTCTTATAAGTTTTTAACTAATAGTGTTTGAACTTAGATGGCAATTTTTTATTATAAAACCTAACACATGTACATTATAATGCTCAAAATCTTTAATGACAGCACTCTTCAAATGATCATGTAAAAGACAATCGTATCAAGTACCAAATCTTTGAATAAAAAAATGTGATATCCAATAAACCCAAAGAAAGTTTTATTTCAAACGCTAAGATTGTATGCACAGTTTTAATAATTATATTAAATTATATTACTTATCGATTAGTTGTAAGTCAGAGACTTTTTTTTTCCAAACACTGGAAGTTTCAGGTCAGTATGAACTTAGAATCCATCAAAAATGTAACTCCTCTTGAAATAGATCTTATTATTGAATAATATATAGTAACTGTTTATTTGTAATTAAGCACAAAGCTACACAAAGGGCTATCTGTGCTCTGCCCACCAAGGGTATCGAAACCCGATTTCTAGTGTTGTAAGTCCGCAAGCATACCGCTGTGCTACTGGGTGGCTTCTTCGTTTTGTCAAGACGTTGACTATTTCACTTCTTCCGGCAATGCTTTTAATAATTTTTGTAATTTTAACCTTTTTTTATTGATTATTGGCAAAATACTATTAGTTTGTTTTGAGATGATCAGATATGGGCCCCCTACTATTATATAATATTGATATCAGTAAATAGAATCAAAAGTTTTGCATAGTTAAGTCTGGACTGTGAATCCGCAGGTTTATGACTCGCAGTCCGTTGTTGCAAAAGTCATGCTTCGCACTATGGCCGTGGATGCGATATAAGAGTAACGATGAATCGATCAAACAAATGCTGTTCACAGCACATCCTTTTAATTAGATTTTTTTTCCAAATCTTAATTTCATTAAATAGCGTTTACAATTAACGTTAAAACAATATGTTAAAACTGATTTCTCGATTATATCCACCCTACCCACTCAGACCGTTAAGTTTAGTTGTTGTTTGTTATTAAGCACAAAGCTACACAAAGGACGATCTGTGCTCCACCCACTACGGGTATCGAAACCCGGTTTCTAGCAGTAGAAGTTTACATAAATACTGTTGTGCCATTGGGGGGACTTTAACCTTAGAGAATATTAAAACCATTTCAACCACTGAGATCCTAGAAGACAATTCTAGATTGTCACAAGATACACCCACGTGATTTCATATCAATTTTTTTTATAAACATTGTATTTCATAAATTTCAAGTACATAAAAAAATCAAAGTAATGGTTTTGATATCTATCTTAGACTTTGAAATCAGTTATCAAAAGTGTTTTGTGTCTTCTACACTTTGTACTTCTCAATATGAGAAAGCAGGAATTTCATTGAAAACATGCATGAAAACCTCAGCTATTTTATCTGTAATCAACATACATTTTAGTTCTGATGAAATTAAAAAATATATATAACTTTTACTTTTCTTCAAGAGTACTATTGTATGCTCTATCAAGGTTTCCGTCATATTTATATATATCTACATAGGTACCAACGTCAAGAAATATACTTAGAAAAATTCATAGGCCGTGCGTATCCTAAAAATTTGGTATACCAGTACAAAACTATATACTTTGTTTACACTCTATACAGTGCAATAAATATGGTATACCAGTACAAAACGTATATACTTTGTTCACACTCTATACAGTGCAATAAATATGGTATACCAGTACAAAACCTATATACTTTGTTTACACTCTATACAGTGCAATAAATATGGTATACTAGTACAAAACCTATATACTTTGTTTACACTCTATACAGTGCAATAAATATTTATTATCGGTACTACCTGTATATATAGGCGAAATTGTGTAAAAGTATACGTTTACCTTATTTGATTTACATAAAAAACAAAGAACCAAGAGTTGTTAGTGCGGTGTGAATTTAGACGTTGTAGTCCAGTGTGCATAAAATTTAGCCAGTTTAATCTTATTTTAAAAACTAAAATATGACACCAATACTAGATTTAGATAAAAAAGTTTCAAGGTAGCTAATGAAAATAGATTGGTGTTTTTTCGTGTGAGAAAATTTTAAAATTACGTCACTACTCTTGTTTCTTATTCGTTTACCAAACGTTCAAATGTTCTATTAAGAACCAACAACAGAGTTTTAATCTAACGTTATAACTACTATTATTTTTCACATTCATTAAGTATTTTTGCAATAGAAACTATGAAGCTTTAATTGACGGTATTTTTACTTTAAAGTGTATTAATTTGCCAACAGATGGCACTTCTGACCGCGGTATTAGTTTTACCATAAATTATCTAATCTTCAAATGTGTATGAAAGTTCGTTGAAATTTTCGGAGTCTTCATGCAGAGAAAATTAATCTGACTCGATAATAACCGTTTTTATGTGATAAGAACTTTCGAATTTATGCAAATAAACATGCCATATTGTAACTTGTACAAATATAAGCACAAAATACAAGGTTTCCGATGAAAATACATTTAGAATAATATAAGATGATGGCTAATCGTGGTTTTAACCCCTTTAAAATGAATTCTCACTAAAAAAGTAAAATAAAAACCACTAAGTCTCGTCTTAATTACTAGTTGATCGGCAAATTGCTATTGATAATTAATTTATTATTATAAACCAGTTTTTGTTTTGGTTCGAGAAGTCGTTTTTAATATTTCTAAATGTAGGAAAAGGCCAGAAAAAAACAACAACTTTGGTAGCGATATAATTTTATCGTTGAAGAGTTGCGTAACTACAAAAGGTTACTGTTTTGTTTTTACATTGAAATTCCAATTAGAAAGATGTAGTGACGGATAATTTGAATTCTTGTTTCTCCTTTATTAGCCACAAGATATCAAACTTTGGTTTAAATGTACATATATATATATATAATTAGTGTTTGGACTGGTCAAGAGAAACTTCGTTCCTGTAGTGCTGTCTCTGTTAAGATAAGATGTATTTATTGTAAAAATCTTATTTTTACAGTTCCCTACCAGCCATGTAATGTAAAGGTAACCAATGTAACGTCCAGACATGTCTCGCTTCAATGGACCAGGCCGAAGGTATTTACTGGACCTACCAACTACACTGTACAAATTAAAGTCTCAAAACCTATTAGCAATAAACTATGTCCAGATGAAAACTACACCATTTTGGAAGACTGTTCTACATGTGACGCTAGCCAATGGAACACGACTCTTATGGAAATATCAAACTTGAAACCGTTCCATTGTTATCGTTTTGTTGTAATAGCAGTTACTTTAGCCGGTAGAAATTCAAGTATACCGTCCAGTCACGTGCTGACAGAAATGGACAGTAAGTAAAAAATAGGAGAATATGCTGTAAAATATTTATTATGAAGATGAGATTATATTTAGAAAGTTAAACTTCTTATTGTAAAAAAAACAAAAAACAATTAAAGTTTCGGTTGAAATTACATTATAGTTCAACATGTACATAAAAAACTCACTTTTGAATGGATAAGATAGAAAAACAAAGAAACTGCTATATCCTGAACACACCGCCATGACGTGGATGTGATTTACACTTAATACAGTTAAAAGAAGAAAGAATATTGGTTTGCGTCATGTAAACTTGATATCAACAGAACTTCAACTTTCAGAGTGATTATGTTATTATATCTTAAGAACCTACATGGTCTAAGGACCTGAAGTTTATCAGAGGCACACTGAGAATCTAATATATTTTATTCAGGAAAATTTCGACACATTAATATTTAAAGAGTGTTTCAGAAATTGCCAGAGATGATGTTCAGTATGCTTTTCGTCATTCTCAGTCAGCATACAAAGCCTATCCGTGAACGAAATCACTGTAGACATTATCTACTCCTTATAAGATTTTGCACACTGACACGTGTTTTACTCAAATTACCAAGGAGAGAGAGAAATAAGACAGAAGAAAGCAATGCTGCTTTGCAAGAAAAGCAACTTAGATATACAGTATAATATGCCTTTGATACACCATAGAACCACGTTCGAACATTTCTTTGTTTTCAAGTGCAAAGCTGCACAATAAGCTATCTGCGCTATGCTACCGCTGGTATTGAACCCCGAATCTTAACGCCATAAATCTTCAAGCTTACTGCTGAGCCTGGGTGACGGAGGGGAACGATCTTTCCTGGAGAAAGCATATAATTCTCAATGTACCTCTGGCGAATAGTTTTTCCCTGGGGAAAATATTTTTGAGACAATTATTCTAATTATACGGTTTTATTTGTAATCATGCTGTATATATATATAACTGCAAGAAATTAAACCCGTATTTTACTTTCTCATTAAAAAATCCCAACTCATGTGAAGAAAGGGATACTTCTATGGTTTATTAGTAAGCTTTCTGAATATATTCGTCAAAACTATGTGCTATTTAAATGTGTTTAGATAATCAAATGTACAGGTTTGCAGTATTTCCAGTAAAAATTTGCCGAAAAAGAATAGAATGTTCAAATTTAAGCTGTTATTTTTAAAAACATACAGTCTGCATTGCTGCATTAATAGATTAATAGATAATAAGATCCTTTCCAGAAACCCCAAATCAGAATTTAGACAACTTTTAATTACACCGTGATTGAATAATTCAATGTCAGAGGTTAGATCATTACAAACAACAAGGCTTTGGAGAAATGTACATTTAAAAACCTTGAATTGGTGAAGTTTTTTTTTATCTTATTATAAATATGATCCATTATGCGTGTGTATTTGTTAGCATCCATCACCCAGAGTTAGATGAGTCGATTACCATAACTTTTGGTATGGTAAATGGAAACTATCCGAAAGTGTACATGGGCTATTTTCATTTAGGATTTTTGCCCAAAAAAGAGGGATAAAAAGCCCTTAAAATAGGATACATTTCCACATTTTTACAGGTATTTGATTTTGAACTTAAGGACAGAAATAGTTATTCAATTAAATGAATCAATTATTACCTTCCACAAGCAGGTATGCAATTAGCATCTAATGACGTCATTAGGAATTTAATTACAAAAGAAAGAAGGGGAACGTTATCTAACATTGTGCTTTATACAATTTTTTCTTCCTTAACGGGTACTCTCGGTTAGTCTTAAAAGAGTTGTGTTTGTATGTGTTTGCTGTCTGCTGTGTCCACCGAGGGGAGTCGAACCCCTGATTTTAGCAGTGTAAATCCGTGTAAGTCCCCGGCTGGGGACTAGTCTTAAAAGAAAATTATATTATTTCTTATCTTCAGTGGCTTTTTTTGTTAAACTATCAAAAAATTAAACCATATTACGATAGAACTTAAAGCAATGGTTAAATATTGCAACACTAAAAAAGGTACATTAAGAAGCCTCCATTGTTAGATGGCGCTACAACTTCAGTGTAGAAAGCTGGAGTACAGTGACGTAACACTCTCTCATCTTTCCTCTTGAAATGATATTTAAAAATATATACTTTATGTTATTTGACAATACGAAAGTACTGAATTTTGGTTTTGTGTGTTCTTTTATTAACTTAAATCAAAATTATTTTGTGTAAAATATATATTTTTTATGGTTTTTAATTTTTTTAACTATAGTTTTTGTAAATATTATGTATCTATTACAAAATATGAATATGATTTAAATGTTGCCATGTAATTTTGTTTGTTATTAAACACGAAACTACACAATTGGTGGTCTATGCCCACCACGGGTATCGAAATCCGGTTTTTAGCGTTACATATGTCAAGTAATGTGAAATATTTATTAGACGACTTTCTTATCAGCGCACTGAACCTTATGTTTTTGGGGTTTTTGTTTGAAGAAGAAGACGTGGTAGATACTTTTTATCATGAAAATTGAAGAATTTGAAATAAATATATAAATGTGTTTTTCATCTTTTAGTACCCGGTCCACCAACTAGAGGCGAACTGCACTGCAACATTAGTCCAACAATTGTTCGGATTCGTTGGAGTTTACCAAACGAAACAAATGGATTGATCGAAAATTATTTCCTTGAGTTTACTGGACAAAAGGTTTGCTTTATTAACCACAGATGTCGTCTCTGATGATTGTGGCAATTTAAAATATTTCGTAATTTATTTTGATGTTTTTAAAATTCTTTATTATTGGAAGTATATAAATAACGGTATTTTAGAAATGTTTATGTTTGTTTGTAGTTAAGCACAAAGCTACACAATGGGATATCTATGCTTTGCCCACCACGGGTATCGAAACCCGGATTTCAGCGTTGTAAGTCCGCAGACATACCGCTGTGCCACTGCGGAGTAGAAATGTTTATGAAATACGAAAACACGATTAGTTTCAAAGTAAACGTGTTTTAGGATTTGCTTTTCTTCTGTTAATTTTTATTTTTCATCTCAAAAATTCATATACACAGAATTGTTTAAATATTGTTTCTTCCAGTTTTAAATAAAATGCTCTTAGATTCGTACGCATGGGTTCACTTTTTTATTATTATCACAAAATAATACATCTTTTGTAAAATACTGTGTATTTTATTGCACAAAAACAGGATTCATTGTATCGTTTATAAATAGTTCCCCACTGGTTTAGCGGGTAGTTTCAAGGCTTATAACGCTAAAACATCGGGTTTCAATAGCCGCGGTGAGCACTGCGCAGAAAACACATTGTGTAAGCTTTGCTTCTAACTACAAAAACTTTATAAATACTTTTTATCTAAAAAATTTCATTGTTGTCTATTAATTGTTAATAAATATATTAATAAACAATTTGAAGTTTCGTTTAGTGTATAAATGATTCATTATAGCAGCATTTAAGAAACTTGATAATAACTGAAAATTCAACTAGTTTCACATATTTTATGAATGAGTGAAAAATGAAATTATATATCTAAAAATTTCGGATTTTTCACAATCATGGTTTTGTAAGGAAACAAATGTGACTGAATATCAGAGACAAATTTGAACTTGTAATTTCGTAGAATAGAAACAGTTAATTTATATAAAAGTCACTTGATTATCGTCAGTTTCTTCTTCACTTATTATAATAAAGTAGAAACAAATTAATATTTACAGTAATTATAATGATAAACAATAACTAACTTACTCTTATATTTTTCATATAGCCAGGAAAGCCAATTCACAATGGAAACATAACCATTTATGGGTTTCAGTCGGAAGGAACTGAAACTAACATATCTTGTAACATAACTTGTGGAGGATTCGTTGATAACCTGAAACCAGAATTTACTTACTCGTTTTCAGTCAGAGCGAAGACAACGGATGTTACAGATTATGGCGAGGAATATGTCTTTCCAAATTCAACATTCTGCAAACTCCCCGCTGGAGGTAAAAAGCTTTAAATATGTCACTTGTCATGTATAAACACGTGTTATTATACTCAATGGATAACACAGTTAGCAATCATGTATAAACACGTGTTATTATACTCAATGGATAACACAGTTAGCAAAGTTAGGCTATGGCGGAAACATTATGCACGTAACAAGAAAATGTAGAGAGAACAATTTTTTACGAAATGTTTATTTTGTAATATTAAAAAAAGTTAGAGTACTTATAAAGAACACTTCATACGTAAAATATATGATTATATCTTAAAATGTACTGTCCAGGGTAGCTAAATTTCACCAGAGGCATATTGAGAATCATAAGTCTTACTCAGGAAAGTTTGAACATGAGGCATTTGCTTCAAAAGCTGTCATAGGTGTTTAATACGATCTCAATAAGTATATCAAGTCGATCCCTAAATGAAGCTACTGAATGCATCATTTGTTCTAAACAGTTGTCATTGATCTCACAATATTTTGCACACTGACATACATTGTATTCAAATTGTTAATTTTCTGTTATTCAAAAAGAGCGTGAAAGAAGAGAAGCAAAAGCCATACTAGTAATTTGGGAAAAGGAATATAGATATGAAGTACAACGCTCTAAGCCATGTACAAACTTTCCTGGATAAAACTTTTGGCTCTCAATATTTCATTTGTAAATTGTTGTTCCCCTAATGGATCTCACCATGCCTCTGATAAATTGTTGTTCCCCTAATATATATCAACATGCCTCTACTAAATTGTAGTTTTCTTAATGGATCTCAACATGCCTCTGGTAAATTGTAGTTCCTCTAATGGATCTCAACATGCCTATGGTAAATTATAGTTCCCCTAATGTATATCAACATGCCTCTGGAAAATTGTAGTTCCCCTAATGTATATCAACATGCCTTTGGTATATATTAGTTACATTAATGAATCTCAACATGCCTCTGGTAAATTGTAGCTCCTCTAATGGATCTCAACATGCTTCTTGTAAGTTTTAGTTCCCCTAATGAAACTCAACATGCATCTGGTAAACTGTAGTTCCTCTTAGTTTTTAAGGAATTTAATTTTAAATATAAGGTTGTTGTTTTTTATAACCACCTCATATTTGGACTGTTGATGAATAACGTAGTCGTAAAAACGACGAGTGCATTCAAGTTATGTAAAAAATGTTTTCCCTTTAGGATAGCTTGTATATATATATATATATAAAAACATTCCTAGAAATCTGCTCTACACATACTTACTAAGTTGCTTAAGTAAAATAAATTAAGTACTTAATACATGAAGTAGTTAATAGTTTGGGTGTCATATATTTGTAACTCTTTTTTTTATATATTATACGAATATGATGTGTTGTTATATCTGTATTACTGGATTGGTTTGATGAATTTCAATGTAGAAACATATTGTTTTTTATGTGATTAAGTTTGGTTGATTCTGTTAAATTTCATTAGAATTGCTTTGATATTTTCAACAATTGACGGTGTTTTTAGAAGTTACCAAACAGCCATTTCAGTTCTTAAAAAAGGATTTTGGAATGACTTAGGTAAATTAATGATTATTTGTAGCTCTGAGTAATGGTAGAAAAGTATATCGTTGTGATTTAATTTGTATTGTATATTATCTTTCATATTGCACATTTTTTTATTTGCTTTTGTAAAAGTCGTAAAGAAAATCGTTCACCTACACTGAGGTATTTATCCTCAAGTGTTTCTGTAAAACTACCTAACCGTGTCTATAAACAGTTCACGTTTTTAACCCTTAACCTGTAAAATAGTTTATTTTCAAGTGATGAACAAAAGATGTTATTGCATTTATTTGGAAACAAAAAATTGGACGCTGTTTCAAACAGTTTTTAAATTAATCACTAGAGAATTCTAAAACGTGTTTTGCTTGTATGCCATTCATTATCAACATAATATTCGCATCAAAGTAGAAAAAAGTGGTCAGAAAAATACTTTAATGTTGAGTTTAAAGTTTAGAGCAGATATTTATGTGGAAGTTTTGTGGGATTCTCATCTATAAATTATGATTTTTTTTCTTGCAGTTCCCCATCCCCCGTCCATGAATCTTTCCATTCCCGAGAAAGTTAATATAACTGACAAACAAAAGCAAGCTGCTGTTTTCATTTATAAGAGCACCTTTGATGACGAAATGGGAGATATAACTCACTATGCACTTATCATTGCGGAAGATTTAGAAATTGGTAATTTGTGTGTGTGTGTTATAAAATATATTTTTAACGATCATGAAACTTTTTCTAGTGCTAATAAATACACATTAATAGCAGGAAATATAACAGAAGTTAAGCGATTTTTCGTATTACTTGCATTTGTATTTTGTATTTATGGCAAAGCTACTGATGCTATCTCCTGCCGTTCTTAATTTGTAACTATTGACCAGAAGGAATACAGCCAGTCAACAGCACCCTATCAACCACCATCCACCCTAAGTGATTAACTGTCACTCTTATATCTTAATTAGTCCATTACGAATTTCGAATTGGACGAATATAAAAATAACCTTTCATGAGGACGAGAAACCCATTTGAAGTAAAAAATGTATAGCAGAGACGGCTGGTATGGGTATTAAAAACTTTAATTAAAATAATGTACAAGAACAACGTCTCGACCTTTTAAGGTCATCTTAGGTTAACCTGAAGATGACCTAAGAAGGTCGAAACGTTGTTCTTGTACATTATTTTAATTAAAGTTTTTAATACCCATACC